CCAGATTTTCAAATAGTTGTATCTCAGCCAAATATTGTCCGATCCTAACAAACCATACATCAATAGAAAGATTATTTATTCAGCTTATAAAACTGACCCTTATGACTGGTTTTGTGGTCCAGGGTCACATATGGTCTCATGGGGTGCACTTACATTTTCACAGCACTGTATGTATAATGGGACCAAGCATCTGCAATGTATTTATATACGTGTACTTCTGTACATATGTCTCCGCATAAGTGGACAGTTCTTGGTGCCAAAGACCAGACTGTACATCAGCAGTCATCTTTACATCGTTATCTTGTGGACTCGAGTTGGGTGCGTGGGCGAGAGCGCTGGGCTTCCTGGGAGATGCGTCAATGCACTATTATGTGCTCTCCCTATCACCATGGTAACAGGCATGGCAGGGCAGAGGAACACATACGTTCAAGGAGTCACGCTCAAACGGAATATGATGAAACACAGAGCCAACCTACTGCGTGTTTAATCACTCTTTAAACACACACAGAAACACACAGTCACCACCTGTCTCACAGTGTCAATTTATCAGATGGACATAGTAAGAGAGGTGGTCAGAGACACAATGACACCAATCCAACACCATGCAAACACAGTGAAAGGGAGAAGCTGTACATGTCAACTGCATGCACAACATCACCTCTCATCTAACACACTTACTGCCACAGTAACTCTACATAGGAATAAATGAACAAAAATAAAAGCTGAACTCTCCCATAGGAAATCTGACATCGGTTACACATTTAAACAATGCTATTAGGCATTTGAATCATTGATTCAAAATAAGAATCAATGATTGGCCAGAACATGGACTTACCCGATTTGGGTAACAGCGGTTCTTCCTTCTCCTGTGAACACACAACGGGCTGCCAGTATGTCTCCATTTCTTACATCGATGGTGTTGGTGACTGGATAAAAAGCCTAAACATAAGTGAAGTTTATAAGTTAGTTCAAACAAAAAATTGTCACCCTCACGTCGATCCAAACCCATAAGACTTTCATTCCTCTTCAAAACACAGGTCAAACACTTCTAATGAAACCTGAGAGATTTCGGCTCATGATTGCAAGTAAGTCAAGGTAACCAAAACTTTCAAGCTTCAAAAAGTTCATGAAGACATTGTAAAAGTAATCCATACAATTCTGAATAGACACGGTCACTTAATGAAGACAGCAAACAGAAGATCAAACATGCTTGCTTGCCAAGAAATCTCTTCATTTGTGTTTCAAAGATGAACAAAAGTCTAATTTGTTTGCAATGACAAGAGGGTGAGTAAATAATGACAGAATGTTCTTGTTTTGGTGAACTAAACACCTTAAACATTAAAGGAGACCTATTATGCCCTTTTTACAAGGTGTAATATAAGTCTCAGGTGTCCCCAGAATGTGTCTGTGAAGTTTCAGCTCAAAATACTCCACAGATCATTTATTATATCATTTTTAAAATGCCTATTTAGAGTGGAAGCAGAAACACTCTGTTTTCGTGCATGTCTCTAAACAAGACAACTCAGCAGTTGTCTAAACAAGAAAAGCATGCTGGACTCTAGTAATGCATACTGTGCGTATATGTGTGTGCACTCTATATTATGCGTGTATTGGATATTGGATTGCGCTTACTGATCCCTTTGTAAATACCACAGACAGAGTGGAAACAGGTCTGACAGCAGGGAAAACAAATATCGCTATGACACTGATGGGTCATAACTCTTATCAGAGACAAATGATGCATTAACTTTCCTCTGTAGATGCCACGCATTAATCATGCTCGATCAGGCAGAGTGGACACGTTTAAATGTACCTGTGGCAGCAGTGGAGACTGGCGTCCAATCTGAGTCCACTGTCCATTTCGAACCCTGTACCCACTCACAACTTTACCTGAAGAACAAGACACAAAACAAGATCAAGATATGTTAGCACCATAAAATGTAAGACTAAATAAGAACTTAGTTGATGTAAGTAAATGCAGTATCTCACCGAGGCTGTGTGTGTGTGTCCTGAAGGCAAATGGATACATTGGGGAGGATGTGTAAGTGCAAGCAATGTCTGCATTGGTAACTGCAAACACCAAAAACATCAGACGTCATAAATGAGATGACAAGCACTGATAACCAATCACAACATTCAAGGTAAAGCTCAGACACCTTTCACAAGATTATTAGTGCCAAACTGGAAAACAGTTGAAATGTCACAGATTGGGTATACCTTTCTTCCCAGGAGGAATGACGGTGTCCACAGACATCATCAGATACATGCCAGCAATAAAGGGCTGTCTGCACAGAGCACACAACAGTTATCACATTAAAATGAATTACAGTTAATAAGACACCACACTATTATTGACTTCCATATTGAATTGCTTACATATTACATCAAATTTACAGTCTATGTAATATCAGGGTTCGTACACATTTTTACCAATAAATTTCCATGACTTTTTTGTTATAAGAAAAAAGTTATTAAACCTGTTATACTGTATTATGACAGCACTTTTTTTTTTAAACTGAATTTCAATACCGTGATAATACCGTACACCGTGATAAAAGCATTAGCAATTAATCGCAACATGAAAATTTTATACCGGCACATGTCTAATCACATTATTGAAAAATAATGCACACCTTAAGTAATAATCCCTACCCAAGTGAAAAAATACTAAAATGTACTTAAAATACATTTATTTTGTGTTAAGTATACTACAAATACATTTACATGCTTAATACAAATGCCCTGTAATTGTACTTTTAGCATACTAAACTGGTCTACTTAAAGTCTGCTAAATTGGAACAACTAATTTTGTGCTTAATGAACTTTAATAGTGCAAAAGTAGTAATGAAGTACAATGATTTCTATCAGTAAGTCTTAAGTGATGTCAATAAATGTGTTAATGGATTTGAAGTATACTTTGTATGAAATGTATTTAAATAAATTATGGCACAGGTTTTTTTTTTTTTTTTTTACTACGGTCAACATTTCCCTTTGAAATATAGCATCTACCCTAAAGGTCCTTTGTTTTTTATACAACAGTAACCACGTGAAATAAAAATAAAAAAGCTTATATTGATTCAGTTCCTAGTGGATGACTTGTTTGCGCAAGTATTTTCACAAGTGTATTGCATTCTCACCGATTTATGTACCTTTTACAAACATAACAGGCGTACATTATGCTGTGTAAACTGCTTAGCCTGTATTTTGTGGTTTCTCCACTCACATTAAAACATGCTTTAGCAGATCAATGAGAACACAATGGACGTAATGGAAGCTCTGCAGTGATATATACACAGTAGAATGACTCTATTGACCAATCAGAATCAAGGAATTGATAAATAAACAAACAAACTAATGCATTGACAATAATACTGCCATTTTCAGGTTCCATCAACACATTCATATTTTCCAAGACATGGAAAAATCCCCATAGAAGTACTTCATTCGCAATTAATCCATACATTATCTTTGTGTGATAAACCAACCCAAATTTAAGTCGTAATTCTTTGATAATCTTCCTTCTTCAAATCTCATTTTGCAAAAAAGCTCAGTCATGTCAGGCTTGAAACATCATCGACTGAAGAAAATCAAACGTGTTTGGAACAACAGGACAGTGAGTAAATGATGACAAAAAGTAGGCTACATCTTATGAATAAATCACAGATATTCTTAGATCTAGTGGCGATAACTTACCGTTTGGAAGTCATTCTTAAAGTGAGTCCTGAGCAGTCTCTATGATGATCTAAAATCAAGACAAGATAAACACATTAGTCTAGGGTGACCATACGTGCCATTTTCCCAGGACGCGTCCTGGCCAGGATTTCTATATTGCCTAAAATATCTAGGTTTTGGCTTTGTTTGCGTGTGCAGACCGATCGGTGTAAGACATCAAAGCACCATACAGACGGTTATGCTTTCGAAACGCTCTAGAGGTACTTTGATGTCAAACACTGATCGGTCTGAGCCGCAATGCTTTTAAGTCGAACACACCTCATATGTACGTGTAATTGCATCGCTTTGACCGTAGATCCCACCTTCTCACACGCCATGATTGGTCCATTATGTACAATGCTTGCATGTTATTGGTCAAACTACTTTTCGATCATTACCTTCAGCAAGCATGAAAACAGGAAAACAAAGCCAAAACAAATCCTGGCCAGGACGCGTCCTGGGAAAATGGCACGTATGGTCACCCTACATTAGTCACATCTCGTGTCACCAACATTGCTCAAATACTGCTGTTTTATGCAGCACAGGCACGCAGACACAAAATCATGTCACAATGAGAGGAGAGTGAGTTGATGTTGATGAAAATGTTAACTAATGTCATCATACACAGTCCATTTCTGATCAGCAGGCCAAGTTTGGTTGATGCTGCTGTCTTTAAAGCATGCTGATCAGCTATTTATCAGTATTTACCTCTGAAATTTTTGACATCACCATAGTGAATTTGCAGCACAAAGTAGTTAATTCTGGTGTCTCCTCCAACTTTAAAGCCAACATCTGAAAAAAAAAAGGAGGGCAAAACAAGATGACTTCAGTCTTTCATTGTATTTCAGGAAAGAGCCATTTACTCATGATCACTTGTAAGTTATTATAACAGCACTGGCTGAACTCAGAGTGGATTGATCTGGCTGCCGTGAGACAGAAATGATGAGGAGAAAGGAGAGCACCTTTGGGTAGTTTGGTTGGAGGAGCATTCCTGGCCCAGGCATACATGATCTTGGCCTGATCCCGACACGTCCCCAGCTCTTTCCCACAATCCCTAAACAATCCAACCAAAATATGTCAGAAATGAATCATTATTACTCATTACAACACATACATTTGCAATATGGTCATCCTGTGTCAACTCAACCAGAGGTCCTCAGATAAAAATGTTGATTTTGATTTATTTTTTTTCTGGTGAAAGAAATACATAAATGAAGAAAAAGGCAAAATATGAAATGCCTTGGATGAATATTTGCCGAGTAATCCACTATTTTGTAGAGGGCAGTCAAAATGAGAATTTTCCCCTGACATTTGAAGCTAAATACCAGGGGGGAGAAATGACTTTAGAAAGATAGCAGCAGCACTGTTATTTTTACACAGGGATTGATTGGTAGGTCTATTAGTAAATCTATACGTCTATAGATCTATTAGTAAAATCTGTAGACTTTAACCATCTTTGTTGCATTTTCGCATTTGTTGCATATGCCGATGGGGGGAAAAAATGGTAAAAAGCACTTTTTGTGTGGTTTTATTTTCCAAAGTTAACATGCTTGCAAGTCAAGAAACATATATTTTCTTTTGGTATCTTCATTTAAAGGGCCCTATATAATTCAGTTACATAGGTATGGGGATTTCTATGTGGCTCAGAGAGTAAACTGTTAAACTGTACACTACACAGTGGTCCAAAGTCCCACATTTGATTGTTCAACCACTGAAAGGGGGTAAAATTGAACAATTCTCACATGGAGATGCATTGTTATTCCTCCATGACATTTAATATTTTGGCTTTTATTCAAGAAAGAAAAATATTACCAAATCAATCATTTTAGCTGGGGAAGTTTCTGAAATTAGGTTGATTTGACAGAATGACAATAATGAAGTACATTTTTTTCCTCCTATGACTACAAAACTCAAATGTAGTAAATCCGATTAAATGACACCTATCATACAACTACACAGCCCTGCCCCAAACTCCAGTGTCACAGGCCGAGCCTATGAGCAGAACTGGTTGGGATGCTCAAACACACATGCTGGTCTGTTTTTTTCTGAGAAGTGTTGGTAACACTGTATTTTAAGATGTCCTTGTTACACGTTACATGTACTTACTATTATAATAACAATAAATTATGCATAATTACATGCAAGTAACCCTAAACCAAATCCTAATCCTAACCAAGTACATTTAGTTAATTAATATTACTCAGTACTTAAATGTATAATTACACCGTAACAAGGACACCTTAAAACAAAGTGTAACTAAAGTGTTTCCTGCACCGTTGCAAAAGGACATCCAACACATATGTATGCGTATCTTTTTTTACTTTTTCAACATTCTGTCATGTTCTAATGTGTAGATTTCCTCGTAAACTTCTCATTCTGTCTGATAGAAACATGTTCACACCCTAAACATATCTGATTTTTTTTCTTCACCCTTATTAAACCTCTACTGACTAGTTTTTGGTAGTGTATCATGCCACTGCACTGGTGACTCATGGCCTCTCTGAATCTAGTATTTCTGAACATTGGCCAGGTTTGGTATAATTAGCCTATTTTCATGCTGATCCTCAGCGCTTCTGAAGCTTCACATCTCTCACTATGAAAGCATGCCATGCATGCCACGAGAAGCACCCTGCAGTATCTGCACGATGAAATTTATTAAAATATATGAGTGACATTAAAAAGAGGGAAGCAATTGGAATATGGAAATCCACATGGTGAAGACTGATAGCAGGGAAATGAAGCCACTGTGGTTAAAATGAGACCGAGACACTGTATACCTCAGATATGTTTTAACTTTCTCAAAAACCCTGACTTTATACCAAGAGTATAAGTGCCTTTTTGATTATATTTGGAGTTATTGTATTGAGGTTTGTTTATCAGGTAATATGGCTGCTGTACTGTATTTACTGCAATGTTTTTGAGTTAATTATATTTAAGCACACAGCCATGGAAACTGAAGAAAGCATGAGAACCGAGCCTCTATCTCCCCTCCCTTCAGGTCATCTCAGATGCTGTTGTCAAGGTGCAAGGTGGTTGCTGTAGTAACAGGCCGTTTTATTACTTTTTTCTCTCTTTCTAAAGGGAAGCGGCAGTTGTTGCGGCACTGGCCAGAAGAAAGCTCAGATGAGATTTCAACAGCACCTTTAGAAATATATTTACTGAGAAAAATGGTGACGTGTTCAATACTTATTTTACCCGCTGTGTATATATATGATCCTGTGGCTCAGTGGAAGAGCATTGCGTTATCGCAAAAGTCGTGGGTTTGATTCCCAGGGAACGCACATACTGGTAAAAGATTGTCTTTGGATAAAATGCTCCACACAGAGATCTGATCTGATCATCATCCAGTCTGTCTGGGATTACATGAAGAAATAGAACAAACTGAGACAAACTCAATCCAGAAGAACTGTGGCAACCTCTCCAAACTCACACTACTGGTTGAATCAGAAGCTAACATGTCAAACTGCTCAAATAAAGAGATTAATGTTCTGAAAGCACCACAAGGTCACAGGCGCTCGAGCCGACTGTGGCTTATTCATAGTTGACTAAACACATTAAAACAGAGACAGGAGTAACACTGAACAGATGAAACACTTCATCCTTAACGCTGTAATTACAGTTTGTGCAACTGTTGCATGTATGCACACTACCATTCAAAAGCTTTATTTGATCATTGATACAATAAAAAAGTAATATTGGTAATTATTATTACAATATATAACAGCTTTCATCTATTTGAATATATTTTTAATATATTTTAGCTGAAAGCTGAATTTTCAGCATCATTACTCCACTCTTCAGTGTCCCATGATCCTTCAGAAATCATTCTAATTTGCTGATTTGCTACTCAAGAAACATTTCTGATTATTATCAATGCTGCTGGATGTTTTTTGTGGAAACAGTCATATTTGCTTAATAATTTAATAATAATATAATATATATATGTGTCCCTGGAGCACAAAAGCAGTCTTAAGTCGCTGGGGTATATTTGTAGCAATAGCCAACAATACATTGTATGGGTCAAAATTATAGATTTTTCTTTTATGCCAGAAATCATTAGGATACGAAGTAAAGATCATGTTTAATGAAGATATTTTGTAAATTTCCTACCGTAAATATATCAAAACTTAATTTCTGATTAGTAATATGCATTGCTAAGAACTTCATTTGGACAACTTTAAAGATGATTTTCTCAATATTTAGATTTTTTTGCACCCTCAGATTCCAGATTTTCAAATAGTTGTATCTCAGACATCAATAGAAAGCTTATTTATTCAGCTTTCAGTTGATGTATAAATCTCAATTTAAAAAAAAAAACTGACCCTTATGACTGGTTTGGTGGTCCAGGGTCACATATATATATTTTGAACGATAATGTAACTAACTGACCCTCATTTTTCAATGTTAGCGTATCTGTACAATATGTATGGTCTTTTGTTTGAGCATCCCAACCAGCCTGAAAATGTTTTTATAAGCTGGAAAAAGGAAAGTTTGGTAACATAAAAAATAAATTAAAAGAGAAAGAAGAAAACTTTTAAGCATTAAATATCCTCCAGTCACTGTAGTTCTCAAGGTGTCAGACGTGACTCACCAATATCCCTGGGTGGCATAAGGGGTTTTGCAGCCATATAAAATCATGTGGTGGGCTGTGTCCATAGTGGCATGGGGAACAAAGTCCACTGAGAAGAGAAAAGTGTTTTAAAGTCAGGAATGAAATCTTAACATAGTAAGATGGTAAGGTAAGCATCTTGAATCAACTGTTTCTTGATAAATCGGTGTTGTAGCATTTCTGCAAACAAACAGCTGAAAAGTCAGCTCTATTTAAAAGTGTTTTATTTACAATAAAAAAAAATCCTATTTTACAACATGGGTTTGCATGAAACCTCTATGAAGAGTCTGAAAGGCTGAATGCTGTTTGCTCAGCATAAACCACAATGAACATCGATATGTTACCTATATAAAAAGTGATGGATATCTTCAGAAAAGGCTTCTCTCTCTATTGAAGCTATGAATAATAGATGGGATGTTGATTGATGGCAGTAGCAAGACAGAGATAATGTAACTCTCAGATACATGCAGACGTCTGGGTGGACCTGTTACTCTGCAAACTACAGCCTGCCTTCTCTAAAGACCACCACAACGAAACAACACATTCATGGACAGCTGAAGATTTCCTCACAACCAGTCAGCGATTACAACGACTGAAATCCCACAAACCCTCAGTACACAAAACACGCTTCATTTCAAGATGGATATCGCTCAAAGTAATGATAACATGCGGTTTAATAAGTAACTGCTTTGATTCAGCGGGTTCCCTCAATGAATGATTTACTTTCTGAATGATTCATCAAATACACCCATTTCCAGTGTATGAGTCATTTCCAGTCAATCGGACTACAATGCTTGTACTGTATGTGTTTGTTTGTGCTCACAGCTCGAAAGGACGGGACAGTTATAGAAAGGCATGCACTGTCTTGTTATCTCATCGCATGCAATTCAGCCTGTAATCTCATATCCACAACTCAGGTAAAATATGATTTCAATTTCCGTGGCGCTGAAGGTGTAGCACTGCAGGAAAACAATACTTGGTAGACATACTGACTTATTGTGTTAATATATATATATTGTATATTGTCCATCCATACTAAAATTATTATTATATGTTACAAAAGTATTCAGCGGCCGCTCCTTGTCCAAACAATATAGTGCACATGCACTCATAAGAATAAAGAGGCCAGGTTTCATTCATTGTGTATTTACGTCCTCATGACTTTCTTGTCTCAAGTTTTATTGTTTCGTAGACGATTCATGTGGTGAGTCTTAGTTCTTGTTCTCTCATGTTTTTGGCTTTGGATGTTTATTTAGTAAAGACTACACGTCTCTGTGATTTCCCATTGTTGATGATCATGTACTCACCTATGTAGGCCTCCTGTGACGTGGGGACAGGAACAGCCATACAGTAGTAGCTGTCAGACTGATAAGAAACAAACACTTATTAGGCACTTCCATACACACATTCATTACTGATCATCAGACCATGTTTACAAAAGCTGACCAAGTACTGAAGTACTATATGCTTTGCTTTCCTAATTATTACTGGTGCTTGGTTATTAATATTGGGTATTATTATTATCAGTGTTAAAAACAGTTTTTGTGGCTTAATATTTTTGTGGAAAAGTTCAAAAGAACAGCGTTTATTTAAAATAGAATATTTTGTAACATTATAAATGTATTTACTGTAGGTTTGCAAAATTCTGTGATACTTTTATTTTTTTTTCTTATTCTGCAGAACAATGCCACGTGCGTCAACTGACATTTTTAACAGACTTTTTATATTTATGATACAGTTTGTATAAATTACCCCAAATTTTAAATGAATTCCCATCAATTCCAAAATTTTCCCAACAACTTCCAATTCTGGAAATTTACTGGAATTTTTACGCCTCTTTGCAACCATACTTTACTATCACTTTTGATCAATTTAATGCAAATTTGCTGAATAAAAGCATTTATTTCTATTAAAAACACAAACACACCAAACATTTGAATGGTAGTATATCATGGTTTCTACATAAATATTAAGTAGCACAACTGTATTTAAGAAATGTTTCCACTGAAGACTGGAGTACTTGTTTTTCAGTCATTCTGATTAAGGCTTGCTTGTGATTGCTGTAATTCTCTCTTTCTCCAGCTGCCTGAGTAACAAGGTTCGGTGCATTCAGCACTGTCAGCTATACAGAAAACTAGCTTAAAACTGCAGCAATGACTACAGCTCTAATAATTACAAAGTGTGAGGAGATGCAGCCCAGACCTTAGCCCTGCAGGAAAACTGTTAATATCAAGACATTAAAAATTAAACCTCTATGCATCTGGATGCCTTTGAAGATCAAATAAAACATCACAAATGTGGTTTACAATCTTTTTAACAGTACTGCACTACAAAACTTGAGACGTTAAAAGGGGTGTTTTGCTGCACATCATAGAAAATGTTAAAATCCATTAATTTCAGAGAAAACTGGTTAATTTTGGTCTTGTGGGTTTAAAATCTTCATTATCCCTACAGTACATTTGATGACTCATCTGTGTCTCATAATTAGTCATGAGACTGTGTATCATTATCCTATAAGAAGACGATTCTTTTAAATATTCATAACAGCATGTGTTTATTTCCTATGACAGATGCTTCAAACTCTAAGATTGTGTACAGTAGTGGATAGACACGTTTATTGATTGCACTCAGTGTTTGTTTTCGCTTGGCATGAATTCTCCTCCATAGACCCTGAGTATCCAGCACAAATGTGACCCATCCACACATGCATGAAACCGTTTTTTACAGTTCCTCGATGCAACTGATCAAAGCCTTGAATATACACCACAAAATAACAGTCTCAGAACTAATTAAATAAGCAATAGTGTGCTTATTTCTATTTTCCACCCAGAGTACAAATGCAAACGGCTGTGCATTTATTGTCTGTATTGAATTATAGCTGTCACAGGATGTGTTTATTTAAATTATTTGTTCATTTTGATGCAGAGAAGTGCAGCATTCGTTTATGGGAATCTTTGATGCTTTTAACTCAATGAAAGTGAAATAAAACCGAAGACATTGTGCTGCTGGTCTCCACTCTTCCCCTCCTCTTCACGAACTAACACGCTCACTTTTATAGCATTTTTCAAAACTGTGGTGAAAACTAAATGGAGATGAAGCAGGGAGAAATGTGAAGAAACGCACAAAAAAGACAAATAACTCTTACCTCTGTTGGAATCACCCCTGGTATGCGAATATCGAGGGAAAAGTTGTAAGGATTGGACAGGACAAATGGATGTCTGGTCCTTGAGCAGTCATTGGGATCTGACCAGGCATTGTCCTGAAACCTGTTACCAAAAAAAAATGCTGTTACCAAAAAAAAAAGAGTTGCTATCTGAGTTGCTAGGATGCATATTTGACAGTAAAGTACCAATATTAAGTTGAGTCTGCATTCAGATAAATTTACTAAAATTAACAACAGTAACATCTTTAAAAGGCTGACACCTAAGTTGGGACTTCTTAATCAGACTTTCATCAAAATCTAGAATTTTCTTACATTTCTTAAAGCCTGTAAACTTCCCCTCTTCTTGTCAGTGAAATAGCTGAATCCGTTCACCAAATCAAACTGAATTGGCTGGAACAGTGCACAATCAATGAACCTGTCCTAGAACTAGTGATGCCTGCTTCTGCAATGTTTTAGAATATCACTTTTATTTGACAATATTTTGCAATATGCCTGTGTCCAAATGGCTCAGTCCTATTACAGAAACTTTTTGATGGTATTAAAACCATACAACAGATTTCAGAAAAATGAAAGCTAAAAATGCAGATTTCATTTTAGGTTTGCGAAAAAATTAAATGGAATTTCATAGGGCCTTTTTATATTCTATATGGCTAGGATCCTGTTTTTTGTGTTTTGTTTTTTTTTGGACCGGTTTTATCATCCATCATGTGTAATCAGACCGATTAGAAAAGAACAGAACTGTGTAAACAAACACCCCTTAATTTAACTAATTCAACACATTAAATAAAACAAATTAATAAATAAAAAAGGTAATGCATCAACATTTTGGCTGAAATGGTTTTAGGGGGCCGAAATCAGTAACATTTAGATTTAGTCACTTAGCAGACGCTTTTATCCAAAGCGACTTACAAATGAGGACAATGGAAGCGATCAAAACCAACAAAAGAGCAATGATAAGCAAGTGCTATGACAAGTCTAATTTAGCTTAATGCAGTACACGTAGCAAGGTTCTTTTTTTTTTAATATAATAAATAAAAAGAAAACAGATAGAATAGAAAAAGAATAGAGCAAGCTAGTGTTAGAGGCCTTTTTTGCTTTTGTTAATCAGAAGTCGTCAGAAAGCCAGAATTATAATTGTATAATAAATAAAAAGAAAACAGATAGAATGCAAAAAGATTAGAGAAGCAAGTGTTATTTTTTATTTTTTTTTTATAAAGAATAGAGTTAGAATAGAGAGTGCTTGAGTTAGAGGGCCAAATAAAGATGGAAGAGATGTGTTTTTAGTTGTTTCTTGAAGATGGCTAAGGACTCAGCTGCTGGGATTGAGTTGGGCAGGTCATTCCACCAGGAGGGAACAGTTAATGAAAAAGTCAGT